AAGTGTTTTTTCAAAGCGTAGCCTTACCAATCCTTATAGAAGCGGCCCCACTTCACACTCACATAGGTGACCTCTTAACTCAATTTTTCACAACAACGCTTAATGGTCATAAAAGCATAGCTTAACCTGCATCTTCCAATCACTGTGAGCACCATAGGAATGAGCAGAAGGAGAACATTCTCAGTGATTTACACAGATATACATATTTTAGTTGCTCCTTTGAACCTAAATCTTGGGATCTCCATTCAGCTAGGTTGGGTTTCCACCATGATACCTTTCAACGTCATAGGCTGTAAGCCTATTCCCCTCGATCTTTTACAACTAGCTCTCAAGTTAGCCCTTTGGTTAGCGGATCCGAAATATTATCCTTTGACTTTACGTAGTCCAAAGTGATAATACCTTGTGAGAGTAGTTGTCGAATGGTATTGTGTTGTCTTCGAATATGGCGAGATTTACCATTATACATATTGCTCTGTGCCCTGCCAATTGTTGATTGATTATCGCAATAAACACAAATTGCAGGCACATACTTTAACCATCTTGGAATATCCTCAACAAACTGGCGATGCCACTCTACTTCTTCAGTTGCTTTGTCCAAAGCGATGAACTCTGATTCCATTGTAGATCTTGCGATGCAAGTTTGTTTGGATGATTTCCAAGAGATAGCTATACCACCAAGAGTGAAGACATATCCACTAGTAGACTTGGTATCTGACATATCTGATATCCAATTTGCATCAGCATACCCTTCGATTACTGTAGGGTATCTAGAATAGTGCAGTCCAAAATCACGAGTGTGCCTTACATAATGTAGCACCCTAAAAATGGCTTTACTGCTGCCAGAAGCAGAAGATTTCATTGTCCGTTTAATAGGAGTTAACTGTTTAGGAGACTTACAAGGAAATATATTCTCAAAGAATTGTGCATTCCTAGACTCTATAATCGTGTTCGGATGAATATCAGGTACATTTGAATAATGCACAAGGAACCTATATGCACTACTATTTTGTGCATAACCAATGAACACACAATCAACTGTCTTAGGGCCAATCTTGACCTTCTTAGGAGGAGACACCACAACTTTAGCAAGACACCCCCACATTCGTAAGTATTTAAATGAAGGTGTCCGATTTGTCCAAAGTTCATATGGAGTCTTATCCATATTCTTTCTTAAAACTTTATTCAAGATGTAATTTACGGAAAGAATAGCTTCTCCCCACATGTTCTGTGGTAATCCAGAACTAATCAACATAGTATTCATCATTTCCTTTAAAGTTCTATTCTTATGCTCAGCAGTTTCATTCTGCTAAGGTGAATAAGGTATAGTAGTTTGGTGAATTATTCCATGTTTAGCACAAAATTCACCAAACGATGATTCATATTCACCACCACGATCAATCCGTAGCACCTATATTTTCTTACTAAGTTGATTTTCAATTTCATTCTTATAAAGAATGAATTTATCGATAGCTTCGTCTTTGCTTTTAAGCAAGTACACATAACAATATCTCGTGCTATCGTCGACAAAAGTAATAAAATACTTATTATCGCCTCGTGTTTGGACAGATTTCAAGTCACATACATCACTGTGGACTAGTTCCAATGGCTCGATACTTCTTTTAATACTATGAAACGAAGACCTAGTAAGCTTAGATTCAACGCATGTTTCACATTTATGATTTGAATCAATTTGAAACCTAGGCAAGTAATTTAGTTTGCTTAGTCTCCGTAAAACATTGTAATTTACGTGATCTAATTTACCATGCCACAGATTAGGAGACTCAAGCAAATAAACAGAAGGAGTTTTCTCATTACTCATAACAGTTGGGGTTACAGCAGTTACATTCAATTTAAACAGACCATCAGTCATATAGCCTTTCCCAACACAAACTCCTATTTTGGTAATCACCAGTTTATCCGCCTCAAAGACCATGCGGAACCCATTCTTGCTCAGAAGAGACCCAGAGAACAGATTCTTGCGAATCTCTAGCACGTACAGCATATTAGTCAGAGTAAGCTCTTTGCCAGATGTCATCTTCAGGATCACCTTGCCTTTACCAAGCACTTCAGAAGTTGTAGAGTTTCCCATGAACAACTTTTCACCATTGGTAACTGGTACAAAAGTAGTGAACATGCTCCTGTTGGAGCAGTCATGGCAAGTGGCCTTAGTGTCCAACCACCACTCCTTTGGGTTAGACCCCACCAGGTTAACCTCACTAATCACCGTCGTGAGGTTTAGCTCAGACATTTCATCTGAGAGATGATCTCTCTCATTTCCAACCATATTAGCCTGAGGACGCTGCTTATTATCCCTCCGAGGCTGATGGCAGTCTGCTAATCGATGCCCAACTTTGTTACAATTGAAGCACTTTCCATTGAACTGGAACTTAGGTTTCTTTCCTACCCCACCTGCAGGCTTCAACTGAGACCCTTTCGTAGCCTTTTTTTTATCTTTTCAATTTTCGTTACCCTATTTGGCTTTAAAGGAGTGAACTTTCTTAGTACTAGAACTTTGGCCGTACTCCAATACATTAGCCTTCTTAGAGTAAGAATTCTCTGACTTACGTTCAGCCCGTTTGTTATCCTCCTCAATGCGTAGCTTGATAATTAAATTCTCGAAAGACATCTCTTTCCTCTTATGCTGCAAATAACTTTTGAAAGCCTTTCACTGAGAAGGTAGCTTGTGAATAGCAGTAGCCACCTTTAGAGATTCTGACATGGTTAGACCCTCAGCATGCATTTCTTGCAAAAGCACTTGATACTCTTGTACTTGGCATACACTGATTGGCTAAGAATTTCTTAGATCCGGCATCCTCGGTCTTGTATTTCTTTTCTAAGGACTCCCAGAGCTCCTTAGCAGACTTCTTTACCACATATAAGTGATACAGAGAATTCTGTAGGCTATTCAATACATAGTTGCGGCACAAAAAAATCAGTACTTTTTCAAGCGTCCCAAGCTGCACGCCAATGCACATCAGTGTCGTTTTCAGCCACGATAGGGCATCCTCAGTGAGGAAACGTGCAAGGCCCAACGTAGTGAGAAAAAAACCATCTTATTCTGCCATGTCTTAAAATCAGTACCAGCAAACTTATCCGGTCGAATTGCATGATTCACCGGAAATGGAGCCAGAAACGATGGAAAAGGTGCCGAAGCAGCAGCCCTAGGCACTGGCAAAGGTATTGTGCCAAACTAGATTGCCGAGGTCGTAGTCAAAGGCAAAGTTGGGTTCACTCCAACATGAGGAATCCCGCCTCCAATTATCCCGTCAATGGGAGAAATGTCAGTCGTGATCTCCATAGGGTTAACAACGGTCATTGCAGGATTTGGTATACCGGTACCAACAGTGTTGCTTTCGTTGTTCACATCCTTATTTCCATGTGATGCCATTGAACTGGAATAAGCAACAAATAATTTAGAATAATTATAAGTTTGTAAAGTTGTATATAAATTCGAGATCAAGTTATCTGTTCAGAAAATAAAACTGTAGAGTTAAAGAACAGATTATTTTGTCAAATTATTAACAACTTAACAATCATTTAAAATGAATTAGAAACCATGCAAAAACCATGAATTGGAAAAATTGACAAAAACTAATGAACAAAATTTGATTTACTAAAGCGAATTCGATTTAAGCTTGTACGTATTTTAGAGAATCAAATTAAACCGAAGGCCTGTGTATTCACAGTTTCCTTAAATCGAATTCGTTGCCTCACCGGAGTGCAAGAGGTTTGATCGGTGTTCGATTCCTAGGATACAATCGGTTGTCGATTCATGCTGCACTACGTTAACTGCATGCGAATTAGCTGTGATATACTCTATCTCACAAAGAAATTATAAGTACAAGGAAGAACTTGAAAGTGAGAAAAAGAAGATTGTTGCTTAGAGAAAGAAGCTTGTATTTCACTTGTGATTTTCCAACCTAGAGAAACTCCTATTTATACCAATGGAAGAAAAACTAGCTCAGTAATCAAGGAGTTAAACCATTAATTGATAAAGGAGTTAAAAATATGAAGAGACTTGAGTTACTTGAGTTATAATATATGAAGAGACTTCTATTCAATATTTTTCATTCAATTCTAACAGTATATTCCTTTTATTGATGCATTTCTCTATAATGGTTTCATAAGCTTCCAATGTGGGAAAATACCTTTTATAGATGCGCTTTTTCTAATGATTTCATAAACTTTTAATGTGGGATAGTAGCATAACAGAAAAATGTTAAAATGCTCATCAAAATCATTTTCCAAATGTATGTCTAATTGACTAATTTGATTTTGAATCTCAACTAACTAAATTGCAATATCCACCTTCATCTTTTCATTTATTTAATTTTCAAATTTAACTTAAATTGCACTTTATTATTAATATATCAATGTTAAATATCATTTTCTATGAGTTTAAATATTTTAATTTAACAAAGCAAACTATTTTAACATATTGATTTTTAATTTTTGAAATACCAAGACTAGTTGTAGGATAATGAATCTAATTAACAAAGATGGATTTACTTTAAATTATTAATATGAAAGTTTAAAAAAAATTTGTTGTTTCAATAACATTTTATTATTTTTTGTATGTATTTATTGCACTTGGTTCGATTCCGGTTCGACTATTTGACCATTGACTTTTTTTAGGTCAATGACCAGGTTAGTTTTCAAAACATTGCTTATACATCCCTGAAGTGAAGAAAGTTGTATATCATAATCTAATAAGAACCAATTTTATTTTTCCTTTGTCAACCAGTGCAAAAAATAAAAAATAATAATAATAATAATAAATTATTTTTTTGTGATGAGGACAAATCATAAATCTGAATTCTAAATTGTCAACACAACAACTTTTGAGTACGCGGTGTCAACCCTTAGTCCCTTGTATATTTGTTGTCAACAAATTATTTATTATCAAAATATAAGTTGTGTCACATTGTACTTCTCAATACAAGTACCCAACTTATATTATCATAAGTGATTATTGGCACTTTGATTCGCATGCTCACTAATAAATAAATACAACCACAATTTATTTCTTTTAAATTATTGTTTTATCATAGGAAAATATACTAAATGGGCACACAATCCAAAACTAATAAGAAACAATTTTATTTTTTCTTTGTCAATCACTGCAGATCCTTACAGAAAAACATAATTCATATTAAGATGACGTTACATGCATGCTACTATCTTTAAACTTAAACTGAAAATTATTTTCCTTGGCGTCCCAATCAATATGTAGTTACTTGATTAATGTCCTTTTTGCAATATTGATTGTGAGGCATGACAGAACTTTTGATGCAGTAGCTTCATCATGATGCTTTAATTTTAGCCATCCGAGTCAGTATGGGTCCTTGATTGATATATTGGCTACTAAATAAGAGATATATCACCTCAGCAGGGTTGTATTCGTAGCAGATATCACCACTTATTTTGCCTTTGATTAGTATGATCGTCCAGGGTTGTATTATCCTGAGAGACAGTTCGATTAATGCCCCAACTGCAATTATGATAAATAGAGCTTCTGTACCTGGGTATATTGCATATGCCAATACTCCATAGCTTAACGAAAATAGATAAACAGATGGAAAAAGAAACAAGTGGACTCGATTAAGTGTAAGTATTAAACACGTTCCCATTGCAAGACCAAAGGCGATTGTGTTGATAAATATATTCTCTTTTGCCATACTTAGGGTTATTTTTTTTTTGAAGTTGGTGCTAGTTGAATTGGTTGAAGTAGTATTATCACCGTGAGAAATCCAAAAAGGAGGAGTGAGAGCGGCTTGAAACGCAGCAGTTGCAATAAGCACAACTACTACGAGGATAGCGTTTCGCATATCCCCTGACAAACCGAGATCCAGGTAAGCACCATATTGGAGTAAATAATCTATCAACCTCATCTTTGGTTTCAAGTACGTTTCAAAAACGGTGGCTTCATCTTGAATATGTAAATATTTGGCAATGGCACGATTGACAAGTGATGAACCTTCTTTATTTCCTGCGCTTATTAAAATTTTCCTTGCTTCTTCATTTTCAGGTTTGAGGATTTCCAATGCCGTCTTACCTTCTAAGTTTTTCTTATTCACATGCACAAGCCCGATTAATGACTTCATAACCTGAAACCATAAACAAGCAGTCATATAAAATTATAATTGAACAGATAAAGTGTTTACTAAACAATAATTGGTTTAAAGAAAAATGAGAACCATTTTATTTTATTGATTTTTATTAATTTCTGGTATTTTTAATTAAGCGAATTTATGTATAATGATGTATCGATTTGAAAGAGTATCAACTATTGAGTGAATGGAGTTTCGATCATGATCACAATCCCTTTCAAGTCAATCCCTTTCAAGTTTTAGTTTGATCTCGAGACAAGTTTGATGTTTCCAGTCAAATTTGTGGGTGTGAAAGGTGGATTAGGACTTTGATCCTTAATGTTATTTTTACAAATTATAGAAAGTTAGAAAAAGTCAAGTAAAAAATTATAGATTTTGGAAAAATGGAGTTTTTAGGCTCGGTTGCCCATTAATCAGCCAAAATTTCAATGAATCGGTTATACAAACTCGATCTCCTGTTCTGCTTCATTCATTCTGCTTTTTCATAATCATTTAATTATAGTTTATTATGTTTTACTTTATTTAGTTGGCTACAGTTTCAAGCTATCTTTTGATTGTTATTCTTCTATTCCCTTAGTTGTTTGTTGAATATTTGAGTAAGATCACTTTTTATTGTAAAATTAGTTATTAATATCCTAACAGCATACATAATAAATATTTATCTAAGACAGTATATTCCACATAGTCATTTTAACAGAAAAATTAATAAAAAAAATCAAATTTCTTGAAATTGGAAAATAAAAACATACTTTATACAGTAGCAAAAGTTCAAATAAGTGTGTAATACCAAAGGACCTTGGAAGTTATGTTGAACCAAGGAATACACCTAGCAAGATTTGCCCATTAGCGAGGTGGAAAGCAACATGTGAAAGGAATGAGAAAGCAAAAGGCTCACCTAAGAGTCACGAACTATTTTTCATAAATAGGCTGGCCACAGGCTATTAATAAGAAGCACATGGACAGTGAATAAAGCGTAACTCCTAATCAAATCAATTACAAAATAACCAATAAGTTGTCGCCATCTAGCAAAAATTGAAAATGACCAAACTACTCCAACGCTCGGAGAGAAATCTATAAATACCCCTATAGTTGAAGGAGGCATACAAATTAAATATCTTACTCTCAAATAGCTATTTCTTCTATTATTCTAATTAAGTATCAAAACTAGTAAATTTAGGAGGTGAAAGTCATAGTTAGATGAGAAGATTTATTAATTTTATTTACATTGATATTCGATTGTAGTTGTTTTATCAATAAACTCGTTTAATTCTATTTGTACCATCAACAAGTACCAATTTTATTCATAAGGGTCAAAATTAATAGTTCAATGATGGGTAATTGGATAAACTTCTCAATTCTACAATCAATATTCTTTCAAAATTAGAATTGTACTAATTTTACCAATTACCTAAATTACTCTGATTGTTTGACAATGAAGATTTGGAGCTCTGAAAGTGATCTCACACTAAGCTTAAATGCTGTAATCATCCATCTCTAAACCTGGAAATCGAGTGAAGATCTAGTATATGAGACTCCATCAAAGTAGATCTCCACTTAGATGCTTTATGGTACATAATTTTTAAAACTCATTTTTTTCCAAATTAATTTTTTATAAAACATTCTCACATTAAAATAATTTTATACGTGAATTCATAATTTTTCTTATTTTTTAATCACTAAGTCTTCAAAAATATTTAATATATTCTCAAAAAATCTTACATCAAAGGGGCCTAAGAACGAAACTAGAAAAAAACATTGTGTTCTTTGCTTTGGTACTTTATTGGGATTTCTAGATTCAATAATGTCAATGGTTTGGACAAACCTCACATGAGCCCTGTCGTCGCTTCCTAGCAGCGGGTTGGGTTCAGCTTCAAGTTTAATAAAGGAATTATTTATTGATGAAAGTTAATTGAAGGAGATTCTAGGGAACTCATTCTGAGTTAAATAAATGGAGATTTAGTCATAGGAACATACCTCCGGTTGGTTTGTTAATGCTGCAAGATGTATCAAGGTATTGCCGTCCTTGTTTCTCCAGCGAAACACGTTCTTATAACCTGTCCTCTTAGCCCAACCAAACAAAACCTTAAAAGCTCCCAAATTGTTGTTTATTACAGCAATATGCACGGCAGTCTCATCTCGAACGGTCAAGTCATTTATTGAGAGTGGACATATGAGAAGAAAATAAATCAAAAGATCAATTTCCTCCTTTTCCACTGCATAATGCAAAAGAGTGATCCCTTCCCTCCCTGGGACACGAATGAGGTTCAGATTATGCTTGATAAGTCGTTTCACAGTGTTGGTATGTCCCTTATCCAAAGCCAGGTGCAGTGGACTTAGACCATCAAGGTTCAATTTCTTCCCCAACGAAGGCTTTAGCCTCAAGATTTCAAGAGCAAGGTTGGTACGGCCTTCTGAAGCAGCAGTGTGAAGAGGTGACTCCACAAATGGCATCTCACTGGGGACTTCCAAGAAGTGTGGATTATCGCCTATTTTTGTGTACAATTCAGCTATTTCAGGATTTTTAACAGTTCTCATTATGCAAACTCAAGATAGTTTAAAATTGAAAAAGTGAAAAAAAACTGAAAACTGCTGAGTATTTCAATTGGATCTTATCTGAGTTTCTTTATATAATTGATCACAAGAACAAACACTGTTCAAGATTCAGGTGTCACGATCTTGTACAGTCTCGAACACAACTATCCAATCAAATTTATATTTTCCTCTTCCTTGAATTGTAATCTATTTTCTCCACCTAACAGTCAAACTCAATAGAATAATATTTACATGCATGATGGTGACTTGATTAAATAATATTTCTCGTTGAGCATTTCGAATTAGCATCATGTGGCCAACACGGATTAAAAATGTGATGACCATGCTTTCTTGTTGACTTCGATAGTCAATGAATTTCCTCCTTGTTGTTTTCGCTTCTATCCCATAGCATTGAAAAAAAAAAAAGGTTTTAAACAAGCGCGTTATTTTCTCACTAACCCAATAAATTTATATTTTCGAAGGAACGTTAGTTTTTCAAGTGTAGCCTGGATTAAAAATGTGTTAACCCCGGTTTCTCATCGCCTTCCGCAGACAATAAATTATTAAATTCTCTCATTGTTGCCTTTTCTTCTAACCTATTACATTAAATTAAATTAAAAATAAGCAAATGCATTACCATCTCACTAACCCAGTCAATTTAAATTTTCCTCACCTAACGGACAAACTCACTAGAATACAAATATATGAAGTTCACGTGCATGACTAGATTGAATATTATTTTTGGCAAGTGTTCCAAAGTAACTTAATTTTTCAGGTCTTGCCGGTATGGATTAAAAATCTGATAACCCCGCTTGCTCGTCACCTTCGACGGTCGTTGAATTTCCTTATTGTTGCTTTTTCTTCTATGGTATAGCATCGAGTTAAATTAAAAATAACCAAACGCTTTATCTTCTCACTAACCTAGTGACTACAATTGCAATTGCAATTACAACATTATAATAAGTTTATAATTACAATTACAATTAAGTTTATAAATTTTATAGTAATTACAATTAAGTTGAAAACTTATAATAATTGTAATTAAGTCCAATACTTTTACAATAATTGCAAGTAAGTCTCAATACATTATGGAGCTACCACGAGACCTAGTTGAATTTGTATTATTCGAATTTCAATAATTAGATCATATTTAGTTGACCCCATACTACATAATCCAATCATTAGTTTTTATTTTTTCATTAAAGGAAAAAGACGACACATTAGAAATATATACAATATCAGAAGTCAACATATACTTTTCTCTAACCTTCCTTGCATGTATTTTTTTCCGTTCGAAATCCATTAGCTTGATACAGGCATAAATGATTATTATACCCTTCTAATTATTCTCACTAATTCAGGTACCATTTTTCTGCAATGGTTTTGTGAACCAATA